GACTTTGCTTGCCAGAAGTTTGCAAAAACGGGGATCACGTGAGACGCTGCAACTGTCGTAAACAGATGCCGGTTGCCAACTCTCTGAATTTTGATCATGTGACCATGGGAATGCTGCAATTGCAATAACCCTTAGACGTATATACTGCGTCACAGTGCTTTTTAGCTTTCTCTGAGCGGTTTACAGAATCAGCATAATTACCCCCGACAATCTGGGTCCTCATTCTATCAACCTCGGAAGGATGGAAGGCTGAGTCAACTTTGAGCCGGTCAGGATCAAACTCCTAGCAGTGGGCAGAGTTAGCTTGCAGCAGTGCATTCTAACCACTGTGCCACCCCAGCTCCTTCCTTCCCTCCCTCCTTCCTTCCCTCCCTCCCTCTCTCCCTTCTTCCTTCTTTCCTTCCTTCCCTCCCAATATCACTTAGACATATATATCACTTCACAGTGCTTTCCAGCCCTCTCTAAGGAGTTTACAGAGTCAGCCTCTGGCCCCCAACAATCTGAGTCCTCATTTTACCCACCTCGGAAGGATGGAAGGCTGAGTCAACCTTGAGCTAGTTAGGATTGAACTGCTGGCAGTCAGCAGAATTAGTCTGCAATACTGCATTCTAACCACTGTGCCACCATGGCAATAGAATAGGAATAGATTAAGCACTTAAAACTTATATACTGCTTCCCAGTGTTTTTACAGCCCTCTCTAAGCAGTTTACAGAGTCAGCCTCTTGCCCCCAATAATCTGGGTCCTCATTTTACCCACCTCGGAAGGAGGGAAGCCTGAGTCAACTTTAAGCCTGGTGAAATTGGAACTGCCAAGTTGCAGGCAGCCGGCAATTCTTGGATTTTGGTGTGCAGTGGCACACATTAAAGATATTTGGCTGGCAGGAATTAAAAAAATAAAATAGTTCCAGCTAAGATTTTGCCCTGTGATGCTTTCTGTCTTTCGAGGTAGATAGCTCACTGCCTTAGCTCAAAGGAAGGCCTGTTTTTTAAAAAAAGTTCTTTATTTTTAACAACAGACATAAACAAACACAAACCACGAAACAACAAATAAAACCTTTCAATTGTACAATGTGTCGGTTGGTCCGTATCTCTTGTGCACAATATCAATAGTCTTTCCTTCTTAAGTTTAGATTAAAATTCATATTATATAGATCCATCTATCCATATTATTATTAAATCATCGTTAGATTTTATTTGCAAATTCATATCATCCCTTTCGTGCAAATCTCAACTTTTCCAAGCCCTGATTCGTATTATGGTTCCTTCCATAATAATCAATTATAGCGTATCATTTCGTTGCATTATAGTTACTAAGGAAGGCTTGCTTGTTGGACGTCTCTGGAAGTTTTAACAGGAATTTTGAGTTCTTGGAAGTGTTTTTATGAGAATGAGAAAAACTCTGTCTTATGATCCAAGCATTACTGGGAAAGAAGACAGTGTACTGTGTGGGATGCCTTGTCTCTTGCTGGGGATGGAAGCAAATGAGCCAGGTGCTTTGTCAACTTCCATCGGTACACGAAGATGTTAAAAATAATTTTGCTGTTAATCCTAGAGGGCATTCTTCCACTCAGAAATATGTCAGCATGTTTAGTAATAAGGATACCTCCTTTGTAGAGTGGGTACCCTTTACCTTATTTGGTCACATGAAGGATGGCTACTCTAATGAAAAAGTGGGTTAGGGGAGACGTGATAGCAGTGTTCCAATATTTGAGGGGCTCCTACGAACACGAAGGGATCTGGCTATTTCCCAAAGCACCAAAAGGCAAGAGAAGAAACAGTGGATGGAAACTAATCAAGGAGAGAAGCAACTTAGAACTAGGGAGAAAATTTCTAACAGTGAGAACGGCTTGCTTTCAGAAATTGTGGGTGCTCCACAGTGGTGGGATTCAAATAATTTAACAACTGGTTCTCTGCCCTAATGATTTCTTCCAACAACTAGTTCACCAAACTGCTCAGAAAGTTAACGACCGGTTCTCCCGAAGTGGCGCAAACTGGCTGAATCCCACCACTGGTACTCCATCTTTGGAGGCTTTTAAGAAGAGACTGGACAGTCCGGTTGCCTGGAGTAGTATAGGATCTCCTGCTTGAGCAGGGGGTTGAACTAGATGACCTCCAAGGTCCCTTCCAACTCTGTTACGTTCTACGTTCAGATCTGATTGGTACCTATGTAGAAAATTGAGAGAAAACTGACAGGTTAAATAAAGGAGGTATAACAAACCTCCAATTTAATGGAGCTCATCTTGTGGATTTTGAATGCAAATATGAAGAAACACAATATCCTTTCACACGTCTGCAAAACCCCATTTGCCATTCTGTGCTTGGATAGAATAGATAAAAATGTGCATGCGTTAAATCTCGTTCGCGCTTTTACACATGCATGGGAATGCATGAGCTATGCAAAATAAGCAGGCATAAAATCCCATGGCTGGAATGCATATTATAATAACCTTAGAGCATGCAAAACCCCATTTGAATTTAATAGACTTTCTGCTTTAATGCACATCCCTTCCCCCATTTGGGGCATTGCCTTCCAAGTTGACAATCTTGCATTTCCAGTGGCGAGTCAACCATGTGAAGGCGAACAGGATTTTTGCCTTGGCTGGAAAATCGGTGACTTTGAGAAATCCACGAGAAATTTTGCAAAATGTAGGATGCATTGGAAGGCAATGACTTTTAGATCTGTTTAGTCACTTCAAGCACTACACGCTTTCCACGCCTTGTTTATGTGGAAGCTTCAGAAGACATCTGAGAGACAGTTTGGTACAGTGGTTCAAGCACCAGCCTAGAAACTGGAAATTTCGAGTCCTGCCTTAGGTGTGAATCCAGTCCCTTTTTCTCAGTGCTGGGAAGGAAGTGATGGCAAACCACTTCCGAAATCTTGCCAAGAGCACTTCAGGGGCCTGTTCAAGTAGTTGCTAGAAAAACTGACTGGAAGAAGAGGAAGAGAGGAAGATAGGAAGAAGAGGATGAAGAATGAACGAGAGGAACAATGAAGGAGAATTCAAAAGAATGGAAGATGGAGGAGGAACAGGAACAATGAAGAATGGGGGGGAAAAGGAGAAGCAGAATGAAAAAGAGGAAGAATGAAAAAGAATGAAAGCTGGAAGAATGAAAAAAGAGGAAGAATGAAAGAGAATGAAAAGAATGGGGAGGAGGGGGAAACCTCGCTTGAACTATTTATTACTCTTGTGATTTTCCTACAACATTTCAATGGAGGTAGCTACGTCTCCTAGCCTTCCTTGAGCTTCCCAATCGATGCGATTTCTCAGCCATTGCAGTGAGACAAAATCTGTTTTTGCCTTCACTTTTAATTCCTATTGTTTGGCTCTCTGAAGTCGACACTGAAGGGGGCAGTTCTGGTTTCCCTGATGGGGCCAAGCGTTGAGTACAGAGAGGGGTAAAGATAGCTGCATCTCAGATTTTAAGTTTTAGTAGGCTGTGCTTTAGAATAGGACAGAGCTGGAAGGGACCTTGGAGGTCTTCTAGTCCAACCCCCTGCTCAAGCAGGAGACTGTATACCATTCCAGACAAGTGACTGTCCAATCTCTTTTTAAAGACCTCCAGGGATGGAGCACCAACAGTGTCTGAAGGCAAGCTGTTCCACTGGTTAATTGTCCTCACTCTTAGGAAGTTTCCCCTGAATTCCAGGTTGCTTCTCTCTTTGATTAGTTTCCATCCGTTGCTTCTTGTCTTACCTTCAGGTGCTTTGGAAAATAATTGGATCCCTTCTTCTTTGTGGCAGCCCCTCAAATATTGGAATCCTGCTATCATGGTGCCCCTAGCCCTTCTTTTCTCTAGACTGGTCAAACCCAAATCCTGCAACCGTCTTCATATGTTTTAATCTCCAGGCCTTTGATCATCTTAGTTGCTCTTCTCTGTACTTTTTCCAAAGTTTCAATATCTTTTTTTTTTAATACTTTTTACTGAAAGACTCATTTGGTTTTTTGGTTTTTTTAAAATTCCAACGATAGTCGATTCAAGGGTCTTCAAACTTGGCAAGTTTAAAACTTGTGGACTTCAACTCCCAGAATTCCTGAGCTAACATGACTGGAGGAGGAATTCTGGGAATTGAAGTCCACAAGTCTTAAAGCGGTCGAGTTTGAAGACCCCTGGGATAGATAAAGAGAGGTAGAATATAGAAAGAGAGATAGAGAAAGAGAGAAAGATAGAATAGGTAGGTAGGTAGGTAGGTAGATAGAATGAATAGATCAAGGGTCTTCAAACTTGGCAAGTTTAAAACTTGTGGACTTCAACTCCCAGAATTCCTGAGCTAACATGACTGGAGGAGGAATTCTGGGAGTTGAAGTCCACAAGTCTTAAAGCTGTCAAGTTTGAAGACCCCTGGTCTATCTCATAGCTGGCCCAAAGGATTGGTACATTGTGGTCTCCATGTGTGTTGCTAATACCAAAGTCCACATGGCTGGTGGTTAGGATTTAACTCAACATTGGGGAGGCTGCTAGCACCCAATTTATAAGTTGGTGATAAGCTTGTAAACAGAGATTTGTCATTTATCATTTGTCCAAGAAAGGTCCAACCTAGAACTAAGTAGAAATTTCCTGACAGTGAGAACAATCAATCAGTGGAAGGAAAACTTGCCTTCAGAAGTTGTGGGAGCTCCATCACTGGAGGCTTTTAAGAGAGTGGACACCTGTTTGTCCAGAATGGTACAAGATCTCCTGCCTTGAGCAGGAGGTTGGACTAAAAGACCTCCAAGACTTATGATTCTATGATCTGAACTTTTGTACTGTTTTGTACTGTAGGCATGTAGCATATATAACTCAATTACACAATGCATTCAGCTATGAGATTCACTATGTTTGAACAGCGTACTAGGTGCCAAACCATGGTGGAAAAGAAATGTGGGGTTTTGACCATCATGGCAATTTTTTTTGCTCATGTTGTAGGCAACTTGGCAACTTGTGCCAAGACTTGTGGACTTCAACTCCCAGATTTCTCCAGCCAGCAAAGCTTAACCTTAATATTCTTCCTCTTCTCCTAGATTGTCTTTTTCTGGTGGACATTAAAAATGAAAACCTGGGCAGTCTTGAAACGGGGCCTTGCAACAACCAGGCAAAACTTATGGAGGAAGCCTTATCTGCTGCTGAAGAATTCTCTGTTCCAGGCCGAAAGAATGTACGTATACTTCGTTCTTTTTTGATCAAAGGTTCCGTATGGTTCCCTCTTGCTCTGTTCCGCCACCACAGAAACTCTGTGAGATAGAATGAGCTGAAACTGTCCGTAGGTCAACTGTTGACTTTTGGGGTTTTCCTATTCTATTCTATTCTATTCTATTCTATTCTATTCTATTCTATTCTATTCTATTCTATTCTATTCTATTCTA